GCGGAAGAACAAGAATGCCTCCGACCAAGCTGTCACGGGTTCACCCGAAATTGTGAAGTTTTGGGCGCTTGCTCTGGCGTTGCTGCCATCCGGCAGGCACAGCCCGTTTGTCAGACCCTGCTTGACTTGTGCTTCGGTATATTGGAATTGTGGGAGGGAGCAATTCAAGGACGACGGGAAACACGTCCCGTCCTCACAACCTGGTGGCAATTGCAATCCCGCTTCCCGAAACGTTGCCTGGATTGATATGTTTCCAACAAGTGCGAGGTAGAAAGACAGCAGACTGGTTGAAGAAGGGGGCACTGTCATAGACAAAGAGGCGGAGACTGAGGGGCGCATGCAGACGAACCGGGAGTCGAACCCGTATCCTTTGCCTTCGTAGGCGCGCAGTGCCGACATTCTCTCCGAAGAAATGGGCAGGAATACTCTGTTTACGACCCCCGTGTCGCTTACTCCCAGGTTGTTCGGCGTAGAGTTGCCTGATGACGGCACCTCACCAAAGGGAACGTACGCTCTGGGCCGCAAAATCCAGTCATTCGTTTGCCGATTCAGCGAAATCACCTCTTGACTCATGTGTAGTCTCAAAGTACTATCGCGGGCATCTCCAACCAAAGAGGCTAGCCCCAAGTCTGAAACCAGGAGTGTCGAAGAGAACTGGACGGCCAGAGTAGTCAGGAGAAGCATGATCACGAGCGCTGCCTGCAAGACAGACTTGCGGGCAGAGGACACAAGCAGCCATGCCAGTCTCAAAGGCCCGTCGTTCGCGCAGCGGATCATGGAGATTTCGGCAACCCTGTACAGAGGTACTCCGTGTCTTTCCAAGACGATGCCGGCGACGAGGCTTGTGTAGATGGCTGATTGTGCAGTGACTGCGCTTCGAAGAAGAACGGTTGACAGGGTGATTGCTTGTGTGATGTATTGGTCGAGCATGATCCGCCTCCAGGCGACGGAGGCAGTCCTCCCATCTTCGAAGCCTTCGCCGGACCACAGGAAGAGAAGAAAGCCGAGAATTCCTAGTATGAGTGTCGTTCCACCCCCAATGATTATCATGCCGTATTGCCCCAATCCATACTGCAGCCGGTGCAGGTAGCTTTTAGAATAATCTTTCGTCTCGTCGATTTCGGATTTGAACGTTGCTTTTGGAGACTTCGCAAACGTCACCTTCGGAGTAGGCTGTACAGACGCCTCCGCCTGAGGGAAGAACGAGTACCCCATACTCCTAGCGCATGCTCAGCTCGAAGCTGTGCACATGTGAAGATTGGATGGAGCTCAGATGACACCAAGCAACAGACAGCTGCCATCATCTCCAATACTCCGAGGACGGCCATGGTTATACATAAGCATAACCAACCTCGACCAGCCGCACCCTCGTCACCCACGCGGGGGAGGTCGTTCTCGTCCCACCACACTGTCTTGAATCAAGCAAACATGCATACTCCAAAACGGATCTCCCCGCATCACAAGAATGAACGAATGGTACGCTCTTGTCAAGTCTGCCTTGCCGTATTAGACTCAACGACGACATGGAGCTGCTACAGGTCGGCTCCAGAGTGTCGGGGCAGGCATTGGTCGATTTGAGCTGTTGGTCCGTGAATCCCACCGCACCTTATCGACAAACATCGTGATGCATGAATGGCAGGTGGAAACTGGTCGTCGAAAAGTGGTGTTGGGAGGACGTGCGTGGGGGAGTTGCAGGGGTTCTCTGGCAGATGGCGTCGCAGAGCGGACGGCGAAGCTCGGGATGCTTGCACCGATCCTACGCGACGGGTCTTGATACCCATGGCAAGCGAAACTCTGATACGGCAAACTTGGGGATTGCGCGCTGTGATGGAAGACGGGACCAACATGATGACAATTGTGAGAATGGCGCCTGTCTGTCACATAAATGCTGGAAGAGGCAATCCGACTGAGTCGGTGTTCACTCGGTTTCAGAGACCTTAGAATTCTCAAACACACGGTACAACATTAGTTGCGGTGGTTAATAGAGCGCCAATATAGCTTTCAAACCAAATACATGCCAAGCAGGGCGCTGGAAAACTGGAACGGGCAGAAAAGGAAATGGGCGGGATGAACTCAACGGCCCGCAACCAAAAATTAGACTTCGGTTCGTGTTAAGCGTGGGGTAAGAGCCCATACCGTATCTAGGCGCGGCACGTTAACAAAGGTAAAAAAGGAAACGAACAAAAAAATGGGAAAACAACATGCAGCTGCCACCAGCCGGTCTAAATCAACGCACAACGCTATCGTAACTATCGTGGAACATAAAGGTCTTTGGGGTGATAATTCAAAAGGCAAAAGATGAGGTCGAGCCCGGGTTCGAACCGGGGTTGCCGGAAGTTTTGATACGATCAAAATCCGGAGTGATAACCACTACACTACACAACCGAGAATTGCTGCTGAACAGGCGGAGTCCCTGTTCCGTGATTGGCCGGAGAACAGAGCAGCCCATGAAGCCTTGCGACTGGCGTAAAGCCGACGTGATCGGCGCGCCTCTCCTTGTCAGCGGCGGAAACCTCGCCGAAAATCTGCTCAAGGAAAATCACTCTCCACAACTCCCTCAATTCATGTTGAGGCTCTTGGGGCCCGCGACCGCAAGCACTGCAACCTCATCTCGCAGAGTTGTCTTGGCACTCACCTTGACGGGGCACTGGAATATTCTCAAGACACGCTGCGCCCTGAAACCAAGCAGCCGGGACACGCCTGAAATGCGCCCTGCGTCATCTGTTTGGTGCGAATTCTCCCCATCCAGAACCTATAATGCCATCCGCAATATCTCTCAGGAGATGGTAGGTCTTGGCAGCCTGATGCTCCAGAGTGGCAGTGCGCCGACTTTCAATGGTCCTGCAGAGGCCTCTAGGGCGCTTTACGGCGCGTTATGAACACAGAGATCCCCAGAAATCTCGGGGGAACAATGACTCGAGCGCCTGTGGGCGGACTTTTGACATGCCCGCCCGCTTGGTACATCCCTGGCGGGGGCCAAACTCTATCTCAATAGAGTGAGGAAACAATCTAAGAAACTTTCTGCATCTTGATTGAAGTTGGGACGATGGGGGAATTGCTACAGTCAAGCTGCCCCTTTCCATTACAACCTTACTGATGGTTCATCCAGAGTCCGGCAGTCCCGGTTGACGAGACCGACCGGCGAATACCTCCGTATGGTGCGAGTAACCCGGTGGGAGTGATGATTGTGGTCGATGCCAAGAAATCACCATGGGAATTAGGGGGGCTCTATGAGATGCGTATAAAGAGTAGCATGACGCTCTGGCATCACTGACTGCTCGGTGAAGCTTTCCAAGCACGGAATTCCAACTCCAGTCTCTCATTCGTCTGACCTCCGACATCATGGTCCGTCTTTCCAGCTTCGTCGCCTTCGCCGCGGCATCCCTCGTCCCTTTCACCCAGGCCCAAGACCTGGAGACATGTCTCGAGACGGCGGGTCTCATCACCTCGTTCCCCGAGACCAACGCCTCGTTCCCTAACGACATCCGCTCATGGCAGCGCCGCATCACCCCCACCCCTGCCGGTGTCGCCTGGCCACGCACCACACCTGAGGTGGCCGCCGCCCTTGCCTGTGCCCGGGAGGCCAAGGTGCTCGTCGCCGCTCGTGATGGTGGCCACTGCTACGGCTCTTACAGCTTGCCTACTGCCGGCCTCACCATCAATATGACCCATTTCCAGAACGTCAGCTATGACGATGCCACTGGTCTGCTTACCTACGGCGGCGGCGGCTTGGTGAGCCCGGTCGTCAGCTGGCTCTGGAAGGAGCACGGCGCCCGTTTCCCCCACGTCCGCGCCAACATGGTCGGTCTCGCCGGCTCCTCCATCGGAGGTGGCTTCGGCTCCCTCTCCCGCATGCTCGGAACTCCCATGGACTACCTCGAGGGTGCCACGTACATGCTGTACAACGGTACCATTGCCGAGTGCTCTCGGACCAAGAACCCCGACCTCTTCTGGGCTCTCCAGGGCGCCGGCAGCTCCTACGGCATCATCCTTGACCTGACCACCAAGACCTGGAAGCCTACCTTCGAGAAGGCCATCGACTACACCATCACTCTCAACGACACCTCGCTCACCGCTGGCGTTGACGCCCTCCTCGCCATCCAGGACCACGTCATCGCCGGCGAGTGGCCCGATGAGCTGACCCTCCGCTGGTCCCTCACCGCGCCGCCCTTCACCGGCTCCGGCTTCTACTGGGGCAACCCCGACGACTTCGACGCGCTGATGGCGCCCCTCATGGCCAAGCTCCCCGCCGGCACCAACCTCACCCGCAACATCAACGACTTCTGGGCCACCGAGAACGTCGCCACCCCGTCCATCGACACCCCCGTCGACACCTACCCTCCGCGCAGCTTCTACCTCCAGGCCCTCGTCCTCCGCGCCGACCAGCCCTTCACCAAGGAGTCCGCCAGCGCGCTCTACGAGCACACCACCCTCGCCTTCAACCGCACTGACCTGACCAAATTCGGCTTCATTGACCTCTGGGGCGGCAAGCCCGCGCGCGCCCTAAAGGACGAGGACACCTCCTTCGCCCACGCCAACAGTCTCTGGCTCATCCGCTGGGAGGGCCGTCTCGCCACCGGCCTCACCGACTTCCCCGCCGACGGCCTGACGTACATGCAGAACGGCCTTGAGCCCTTCCGCCAGCAGTTGACCACCGAGGGAGTGCCCCTGCGCGGTTTCGTCAACTACCGCGACACCGCCTTGTCTGTCGACCAGTGGAGCGAGCGTCTGTACGGCAAGAACTATGCCAAGCTGCAGCAGCTGAAGACCGTCTATGACCCTGAGGGCATGTTCACTGCTCATCCTCAGAGCATTCCTCTTCCTGGCCAGGAGCCCCCTGCCGCGATCAACTAAGCCGGCGTGTTGAATTATCAGAAATTTGATGTATATACTTCAGGTTTGAGACTATTATGAGTCCAACCACAACATATTAAGCAATTTTATTGGAACTTATCAAACGCATGGCGTGCCTGTGATACACCTTAATTCAGCACTCAGCCTCATGCCGCTAGCTTGCCTCCTGACAGTATTCTTCTCGCCGTATACTTCATTGCATTCATCGCAACAAGGTACAAACTGGGGCCAACGCTAATTCTAACCACCCCAATCTTCGCAAGTTCGTCCGTTGACAATGAATCAGGTTGATCACCCAACTTCACCGCAACCCGACCCGATAGCTCCCGCACAAGCACCTTAACCTCCGACGTCCGCAATCCCCGGCCCATGCCGCCCCAGTAGAAGACCGTCGTCGCTCCCGCTTCGAGGTACTTCCTGCCTCTCTCAACAGCCTCCTCCAATGCACTCTCATCGTCATTGGAGTAGTGCGGTTCCAGCCTGAAGATGTCGCATCTCGCATTGATCACAAAGTCAGGGCATCCGGCCTCCCTTGCCGCTGCAAAAGCCCTGTTGAGACGCTTGACCTGGATGTCGGCATCGTACAACGACCCCTCAATGCCCTGTCCAAACCCAGCCGACGGGATGCTGTCCTCGATATTCGCGCCCGCAGCTCCGAGTTCAATGACCCTCTTCACAACGTCTTCGATGTTTTCGCCGTAGCCGTCTTGGATGTCGACGGTGAGTGGAAGCCCTGCAGCCTTGACGGCGGGGGCGATTTGTGCGATAGCGGCTAGGTTTTGCTCCAGCGTGAGGTCCTCGTCTTTGATTCCCAGAATCGCCGCAATGGCCCAGGAGGCTGTCGCGATCGCTTTCACGGGCTTCGAGTCGCTGGTGTTGAGGGAGAGAATGGCATTGAGGGAGGCGAGGTCCCACACATTTGAAAGGACGAGTGGCTTTGAGGGGGCATGGAGCTCCTTCAGCTCCTTTGCTGGATGGTTGGTCATGGGTTTTGGCGAATGTTTGGCTTCAAAATAAGTGCCTATTAGTTGACGGAAGGATGAGTAGTACAAAGTCGTGCAATGATTGAAGGTTGGATCGTGGTGATGACTCTTCATGGGGAGCCCCTCACAACACGCTAGTGACAAACGAAGGGCGCGCTTCACTTTCCCGATACAAGCCGCTGCGAAACCGGTGCACTTACACGGAAACACTCAACGACTGGATTGAATCAAGTATCCCTAACATTTTCAAGGAGGCTACCTTCTTTCGTGCTTCATTCATCATCCGGATCACCCTTCCCATGCTGGTGCTCCATTCCCATCTTGTCGTACGGGTCCCCCGACTTGTGCCCACCGCCTCCGTGATGCCCGCTCTCCTGATGCTTGTGCGGCTTGGCAACATGCAACTCATCAGAATGCAGCGCAACACCAGCCTCAGCCGCAATACTATCCAACGGATCCCGCATCAACATCATCGTCATGCAGTGGTTAATATGCATCAACGTGTCGTAACGCTTCTCAATCACCAGCATCCCATCTTCCCCACACGAAGCCCCATCCATCCCCCGCCCACACCGCGCCGCCTCCCACATCTTGCGCCAGTAGAAGACGCAATGGACAAGGTGCCATTCGTGAGTGGTGAAGAATCGCGCATGCTGTCCGCGTCTCGCCGCCTCGGGTAGCTGGCTGACTTCCTCGAGCGTCATGGGATGCGTCTGGTTCTGGTCGTGCCAGTATCCCCAGGTGTTTCCCGTGGAATCTGGCTTATTCGGGCCCAGTGATTCAAACTCTGCCGTGAGCTTGGCGGAGCGGCAGTGTGGTGGAAGCCATGCTGCGGCGAGAGAATCATAGACACAGCCGTTGGCGCGTGCTTCTTCGATGGTCTCGCCGCAGTTGCATGATAGAGAGTGTTGTTTTTGGGTTGAGGGTAGGTGGGGTATTAGGAGGGAGAAGAGGCCATAACCAGCCAGAATAATGATGATGGCGCGTATTGCGACGACCCAAAGACGTTTTGAAAATGGAGGCGTAGGTAGAGTTTCTATGTCTTCTCCCTCGGAGGTTGGCTTCGCTTCTTCATCCGCGGATAGTTGGACGTACGCCACATTCCTTGCTCTTCTCCACGGCTGGACGATCCCTCGAAACCTGCAAACAAAAGTGATTAAAAGGCGCAACCATCTTATCATCGTTATTATCCACTTACAATTCCGACATGGTGAGTACTCGCTCGACTTCCACTGTCCCAGGCTTCTTTGGTGGGTGAGAGAGAATGCAACGAAGTACGCATTTTCATTCAAAGTGCGAAATGAACGAAATCTGTATTCGGTATCGGGAGGACAATCAAGGTCATAAGAGATCATTGCCTTCAATCTCTTCCGATTGGTCCCGTTCAGGTCGTTTCCCTCCGTTAAGATAAGCATCTGCAGACCTCGCCTAACGCCAGGATTCCGCCAAGACGCCGGTTCGGGTTGAAGGATTCGGCAAACTTGCCAACTCCTCAAATCTGACAACCTCTTGTCCAGAGCGAAAGGCGGACCCCCGCGCCCTAAACCAAAGGAAGAAGCTCGCATCGCAAGATCTACCAGCCTTCGGCCCGCCTCGCGGGTCGGATCTAGCACGCAATGTTGCCGATGAGTGCTACGGCTGATATGACGCGGCATGGTTGCACGCGCACTTTTGTCGTTGATCCATCTGCATGCAAAGAAACGTTGCTGCCTGTTTTAGGCAAGAAGATGCTTGATCATAGTTTGATATGATCATGCTTGCGGTGCTTAGGATCACTAGCCTATGATGGTTCCTGGATGATGGAATGGGAATTATTGCTAGTTTTGGCGTTCTCTCTATTTCATCCGGACGGGAATTTTGGAGGTGTAGAACTGGAAGAGGAGCTTTTACTGTACATATTATTAGATATTATATTAATTACTAGAGTTTAACGGAAATCGACACTTCTTTTGTCACAATTCAATTGCGAGAGCTTCATTTTGATTCATGGCTCTGAAATGAGTGATAGTTGATATGAATGAGCGTATTAGAGAACTACAGACCAGACCTTCCATCCCAGACCTTCTTTCAAACACCAGTTCAACCTGCGTTCCATACGCAACTTGAATAAAATGACTTATGCCTTAGCATGGGCGTTCCTCTTGGGGTAAAAGGGGATAGCCTCAGCTTCGGCATCAGCAGCGCGCTTCGGGTAAAACGGAATGGCCTCCGCCTCAGCGTCGGCGCCCCTCTTAGGATAGAAGGGTTTGGCCTCAGCTTCTGCGTTCGCGCCTCTCTTGGGGTAAAAAGGGATGGCCTCTGCCTCGGCATCGGCATCTCTTTTAGGGTAGAAAGGGATAGCTTCAGCCTCAGCATCCGCCCCTCTCTTGGGATAAAACGGAATTGCCTCTGCTTCGGCATCAGCCCCGCGCTTGGGGTAAAAGGGGATCCCCTCAGCTTCAGCATCAGCGCCCCTCTTGGGGTAGAAGGGAATGGCTTCGGCCTCGGCGTCAGCTCCTCTCACATCTTCAAACATCATATCAGTTAGTCTTCTTCCAGTCCAAGATGTACATAGTGAGCGAGAGCAGCATCATACCAAGAGGAGCAGCGGTAGCAAAACCAATAGCGGCCAGGATAAGATACTGAGCGCGCATTTTGAAAGCTTTCGGATTCTTTCCAAGGTGGATGTTAATGTGATTGATGATCAAGAGGAAGGGTTGAGCTGTTGTGATCGCAAATTGAGATGGGAAACGAAAAGTTGACAACTCGACATCGAGGGCGGAGACGTAGTCTACTACATAAGAGATTTGACGCCGACACTTGCATCACCATCTTCCTAACGGTCTCAATGGCGGTATGCAGCGCTATCTTACCGCCACCAATCGCTATCGCGTATCTAAACGCCACGAAGGATTCCTGCAGAATTGCGATTCGACAGGCATCATCACCGCTTACACCCCGACATCAAGACCAGGCGGGCGTTCAATTCCGCAAGACTCCGCACGCATACTAGAAGTAGAAGGTTGCAATGGAAAACATGCAGCTTCATGGAGCTCGACGGCGTAAACAACACCCACTGGGTTTGCCCATTGTGCCGGGCTTCCAGAACGGGAGCAAAGGATTGAGTGGTGGGGCAGCAGGATCCGGATTATCGCGGCTAAGCATCATCGAGAATGAACGCATCAACGTTGGGGCCTTACCTGTTGCGTAGATCGTTCAGAAGCGGAGGAGAGCTCTTCTGTGCATCTTCATTTGTATTCATGACAGTATGTGCTTCCTTCGGGTAGGAAGCCACGCCCCGTAACTCTTTCTTGTGCCTACGCTCATGTCTCATCCAACTCCTCTCTTCATACATGCCACTTTATATTTAACACATTTTATCAATGATGGAACATCACGTGAGGCCGTCGACAGATTCTCGAGGGATGGTAGACGACGAGTCCCCTTTGAGTAGCCATGACGACTCGGGCGACCTGGAAAAGGCTCTGCTTTCAGTGGAAGAGTCTTCAAAGAGAGACGTCAGCCAAAGCAGAGCTCATCTCCTGGTACGGCCGTCGACATGGCTGACAGTCTTCAATATTGGGGTATTTGTCGCGTCATGCATCGTTTGGTCAGGTGCATTATCAAAGCAAACCCTCAAGGATCAGGACTTCTGGAAAGCAACATCATTCTATTGTAAGCTGATGATCATGAGCCTTCAACTCGAGATGTTATTTTGTTGATGAAGAAAAAGCTCCCATTCTGGAAAGATTCGAAATTCCCAAAGTTACACGAGTCACGAACGGCACGCTGTACGACCCAAGTCCGCCGTCTATCCTTCGCCAACGTATCGGAAAGGAAGTGGACGATGAATGGCACCGAATCGGTGATCACGTATGGCCACTGGTCATTGGAGCGGAAGACGTCCGGCTCTTGGGGAAAGACCCGGCCGTTGCGGTAAAGATCCCAGACGATCTCGGCTACGGCTCGGACGCCTACATTGCTCAGACAGAGGTTTTTCATCACCTGCACTGTCTCGACATGCTAAGGAGGGAGGTTTCCTACGAGCACTACTACGAGGAAAAGGAAGGGCCGAAGCCAGGAGGAGCACAGCATCAAGCACATATCGGCCACTGCTTCGATATACTTGCTCAGGCAATCAAGTGCACGGGTAGTGTTGACATGATCACGTTCAACTGGGTAGAGAGCTGGAACCAGCCGTTCCCGGATTTCATGAACCACAAAGTCTGCCGAAACTTTGATGTGTTGTTGGACTGGGTGAACGATAACTCAATGGACCCGGAAGTATTCCAGAAAATGAAGACCCCTCCTCCGGGATGGCCGGTGCTGCCAGAGCCAGGTACAGCCAGATGAATGAGGACAAATAGAATGTGATAGGAGCTGGTAGCTTCCGTAGCCACGTAGAGATAGTAGCAGTTGCACAGAAGAACGTGGTGGTGACATCATGCGTCAATCAAGCCCATTTGTGTCCTTGTGCAATGTGATATGAATTCCCACACCAGGCTCTCCATGTAAACAACACATGGTCTCAAGTGTGGAGTCACACAGTTCCTTGCATCCGTGTCGTGGGCCGATGGGGCAAACAAATCAAGCATCTAGACTCGAACTCCAGCCCTACGCACAAAACGTGGTCTGATACTCAGGGCGACGAGTACTATTTATGTGTAAGATGTTACGGCAGCAGTGGTATACTAAACTTCCCGGGATGAGTCTTTGGTGGCTGCCAGCGACGCTGCTTTTCGAAGAGTACAGCCGACAACTTAGGGAAGCAAATTTTCGCCACCCTCAAAGCCTAAAGATGCGGCCATAACCATGGATGTGAGTGCTACCACGTACCCGGCTTTCCAGATCATGTGGGCTTGTCGAAAGGCTGTTATAGGCGACTTGCAGACTATGTCGGACGCATTGTAACTTGAGATCGGGCATCCCGTCAGTCGCACACAACACGAGGCAAACACAAAAGTCGAGTTTCAACACGTTCGCGATTATAAAGACATGGGTGGTTGGCTTGAACATTTTTAGGCAAGAGGCAGATCATCCGCTAAGACCTGAAGAATTTTGGGGCCACTGAATCATACGAAAATACGTCAGTCTTCGAATTGGAAGACAGGAGTAATTTCCTCCCGTGGATCGTCTGCTCTCGTGAGGTATGCAAGCGTTGTCCCGAACTCTGTGACAATCTAGTAGTTAATCGTTCCCAGTCCAACGAAATCAAAGTAATCACTGTCGTCAGCTATGAAGGCCTCTTTGTTTATGTCAGTTGCGTCACTCGCGCATAGAGCATTGGCTGTTTACTGCGAAGCATCGGCGTACCTCGGCACAGGTCAAGTCGGCAGATGCACCGGTCAACATTTAAGTAGGGCAAACCAGACACAACCTGGAACCAGCCGCTGTTTTCCAGCAACGAACGGGGCTTGCGGAATCGTCGCAGACCAGGAAGGCGGCTGCAACTGCACAATCAACTTCTTCTCTGGTGGCGACTGCAATAGGACTTCAGTTGGGCAGTTGTCTTGTCACAACATTGGTGCTGTGAAACAGATCAACTTTGACCACTTCAACATTCGCTGCTAGACGTGTTTTCAGTCTTTGGAGAGGTCTACAAAGAGCCCAGAGCAGGGTTTTAGGACCGAAAAGTTTAGTATCTACTTGGATATGGACGGTCGTTAGGAAAATATCTATTTGACGAGTCAATTTATTTTAGAGTCGCACTCGGACTTTTGAAAGAAGCCCAAGGGGCTTACCAATGCATGATCATACTCTCGCGGGGACTTTATAGCTTCTAGCTCAGTGATCAGTTCTTAGCTGTGAACATAAAACCTATATGGATCTCGCAGTGCGTCGTATTGCCCATCGAGACTCTCCTCTTCTTCAGTATCGTAGCCGGTCAAACTGGTCCTGGCTTTGGCTTGCAGTTCTTCGATCCCCTGGGTCTGGCGGTGCTATGGAGTGGATCCAGTGTCTTGAGGGTGGTCTTGTGACGGAGCGCAAAGCATTTGATCAATACACAGAAAAGAAATGAGCTGGAAAAAAAATTCCATTGGGACAACGGGGTGGTCTGAATGCACCCCAGCATCCCTGAACGGCTTGCGTCATTGAAGCAACCGCTGCGGGGGTCGTTAGCTCTTAAGGTTCAAAAGTGCTCACTCACCCAGTGGTCTTGCTTCCCTACTTTGGTGCTTCTACTTCAACCAGCACTCCAATAAATATCAGGAGAAACAACTTACGCCTAGAGTTGTAAAAATTGCAGCTGCATTATACTGTTGAAAAGGACAGACCGCCAAAAACAACTTGGCCAGCAAATCCCACATCACAATATGCCCTCTCCACCGGACCCAGATAATGCCGAAGTGGCGTTGGACGGCGGGCACAGCTCCGCAGAAGAGGATTACAAGGAGATCATCAGGCAGCACGCCGACCGCACGCGCGAGCTGCGCGACGAGGAAAAACCGATCGAGCCGGCCCGCGAGCGTGAGAGGACGATCCTCGAACAGGAATACGAGAAGGCCCGCCGAAAGAAGCTATCTCAGATCGAAACAGCTATCAGGGACATTCACAGCCAGCCCTCGGGTCAGCCTCGGGAGACTCTAACCGTCAAGAGCCTCAGAGATAACAGCTACGACCTCATCTCCGTCATCGCGCTTCCGAACGAGCATCTTTCCATGACCATGTTCGGCAGTTCTCTCAGTCTAGAAAGAGGTAGCCCTAAGAAACGGACGCACATCCCGACACTGGATCCCTGATTGGTGCTGGGCAACATGGTCATGTCTGGTACGCCAGACAAGACTTTCCCTGGTCCAGATGAGGCGGGCAAGATGACAGTTCCAATGAATAAATACCACGACTTGGAGGTCACGTTCCACAGCGTGGACTACATGGAGGTCAAGGTTCCGGCCGGTGCTGTCCGCCAGTATCGAAAATGTTTACCTGAAAGCGAAGGAGGCTTGTATCGCGATACCGGACAGTATCAAAAAGGCGACCCCGCCGATGGGAAATCTGGTCCGCGTGAATATCTGACCTTTTATGGAGTCAGGCGTACTCCGGAACGAGATAGGGAGAACCAAATCGAAAGGCAACGACTGCAAGGATACCGCCGGCCGCGGACGCCACCGTCGCCACGAGAGACTTGGTTCGAGCGAAACCATCCTATGGGTGAATTTTACAACAGCAGGTACAGCGAGGAGTGATGATAATTTAGGAGTTGCAAGTTTCCTAAGCTTTCAATATAGGAAGAAGAGGGCCTTACTCTGTTGGCTGTGGTCTTATTAGCACCCTACAAGAACTATACGAAACATGGATACGGCCTTTCTCTTCTCAAGTTGGTATTTTCAATTTAGAAGTGTCGTTGAAACATCAAGCGGCGCTCAAGATTAGTTAATTGAGTGCTGTTGTGCTTCGTGTTTTGCGATACCGTCCGGAATTGCTCTTCATTCAAAGTTTCTTCTCGGCAAGTCTGGACAACCCAGCAACTAATTGCCAGGCAGTCTATCATTTGGTCAAGAAGATCTCTTCACCTGGAGTGGCGGCGAGGTCATCGTGGTTGTCAGCCCGCGGTAGACATCCTGATCCACGCCACGCTCCACAACTGAGTCATGATGCTTGCCACACAACCTAAGCTTGCAGCTGCTTGCTTTTCACAAAAGTCCAATGATGGCAGAGCTCCAGAGTTGTCTACTGACTGTGGTTTGTTGCAGGTGGCTGCTGGGTCTTTTGCTATCAAAACGAAGTAAAAACAAAAAAGAAGTCGACGAAGACAAGATTCGAACTTGCGCGGCCGAAGCCAATTGATATCGGTGGTAATTCGAGTCAATCCCATTAACCACTCTGGCACTTCGCCGTGTTTTCTGTCCATCTTATTGCAGAATAATAATCCTGCATTGTTGTGAACCGCATGTAGCCGAGGGGTCCATTTTGGTACACCCTAGATTAGACGGCCACACAACAACGTGACAATCTCTCGGAGCGACGCACACACGCAAATAATCATGAACTAAATGAACCTCATTCAAGTTCAGTACGCAGTCCTACAGCTTTGTTTTGCCGGAGGTCAGATGGCATGCATCTCTGTTGGGTTCCAAGGTTGTCTGCCGTTCTTGTGTTTTCTTTTGCGTGTTACATTTGAAACCCCGCACCAGAGGCTTCAGCGCATTTTGAGAGCATATTTCAGGGCAATGGCCTTCTAATCGCGCAGTATGTGCGTGCTTGTTTCTTACCTACCTATTGACTGCCTGGTTGACTCACGCGATGCACCCGTAATCGGATTGTTTGACCGCTCCAGCAGAGCATGAAGCTGCCCGGCACTAAACTTTCCAAAATGGCTGCAGTACCCGCGGTCCAAACCAAAAGCAGCAGCTCCTTGCGCCGAGGGCGAAGTCGTACGTGGACAAAGAAGCGCATTGTCCACATCATCACAGCATCAAACTCTCATTCAACTTCACCATCCTGTAGCTCAATCAGCCGTGTCTTTTTCAGGATCCAGGCCGGGACAAGAACCTAAAGTTGTCATAACCACCGCCATTTTCAACCGCCAGTCACTACCGCCCAAAATGCCGCTGAAAATGCGCCCCGCAACAACCGCGGACGGACCGGCCCTAACCGCCGTCTATCTCTCCGCTTTCAGCGACAACCCCGTTGCCGCAATATGTTTTCCAGCAAGCTCGCAAGAGTGTCGCGACTTTCTCCTCAAAGCCTTCGCTGATGAAGCGACAGACCCGCGCTGTAGCGTGTTCGTCGTCACGGACTCTGATAACGTGGACGACCCGGATCTTGTCATTGCCTGGGCGAAATGGGTGCACCCGGCTCAGGACGGCGAAGTGAATGTTGAGCCGCCGCCGCCGCAAGACGTTTGGCCACAGGAGGGCAACCCGGCCTTTGCGAACGAGTTCTTTGGCGGTATTGGGAGGAAGCATGCGGCTATCCTTGGCGACGTGAGGCACTGGTATCTCGAACTTATTGTCTGCCGCAAGGAATACCAAGGGAAGGGTGCGGCGACGCCGTTGCTGCGATGGGGATGTGAGAAGGCCGATGAGGGGGAATCGATTGCGTTTCTGGAGTCTATGTCCAAGGCAAAGGCGGTTTATGAGAGGTACGGGTTTGAGCCGGTGGACTACATGGAGTTCAGGACGCCCAGCGGAGTGGTTGTTACCCAGGACTTCATGTTGAGGAAAGGAAGGGCGGTGGAAGATTTTGAACGGGTCATGGCGAACATAAGAAGCCTCAAGTAGACACTGCAATCCTCAGAGCTTTGCAGTCCGGGCCGTTTCCACACACGCGCGTGTAATCCGCATATCCTGAGCTAAAGCGACTGTCTTATATTTCCTATGTGCTCGCTTTCGTCGTTGTCGTCGTCGTCGTTC